GCCCCCCTTGTTACGTCATGAAAGCGTCTGCTTTGCGCTGACGTCATCTCGGCGCGCCAGCTCTCCACTACTGCGGACCAGCCCAGCACCTCCATGTGTCAGGCCGGTGAGGACTACGCGGGGCCGGCTCAGCGGGAGCCTCCGCCCGTGCCACGGCCGGGGTAAGAGCCTTCTATACAAGGCCAAGGGCAGCCCTTTTCGGCCCGCGTAGCCACAGACCTGGTCACTGCGACCCTCTTTGAGTCGGCAGCTAGAACTAAGCATAGGCCCTGGTGTGTGAGCCACTGGCTCAGGCTGGGAAGCAAGACACTGGCTCCCCCAAGTTCGCTGCGGTGGGAGATTTTGCCATGTATGTTCTTGTTCTCTCCAAAGCCGGGAGCAGAAGTGTGTGAAGTGCGCAGAAGGCCTGCCGGTGGTGGTGATACGAGCGGGAGATGCCTTCTGCAGGTGAGATCTTGGCAGCCCCCCTTTCCAGGTTTGCTTTTTTTCTGGTAAGGGAACGGTTACTTTGTACGTGCTTGTCACATTGTACCTGACCACAAGTTTAGTGGTGGGTAACAACCCTAGTCATCTAAACTAGGCTCACGCCTGCATTTCCAATACTAGGGATCCTGTGACAGGAGCATTACCTCAGATTCGAGGCCAGCTTGGGCTACAGCGAGGCCCTGTCAAACAGAATCCCACAAATTTCTTTGCTGGGCCTAGTGGTAGGAGGATATCTGGGGAAGCTTATGGAGTGTTCAGACTCGAGGGAAAGGTGCGTTGAAAGACAGGCATTTGGGGCAGTTGTAATCCGGGCAGATCAGAACATCTTGGGAGGTACTCTGGGTGGAAGTTGTTCCTTCTTTCATGGGACACAAGATCTGTTTTATCTTGCGGCCACACAGACTTGGAAGGAGAACTCAGTCTTCTCTCAGGCCTTTGGACAGGAACAAGAGATTTTTCCCATGGGGGCCACAGCAGGAGGACTCACATTTTATCTGTAACTTTAATGGGTTACCTCTTCCGAGTTACAACTGTTTTAATGTTTGACTGTTTTAACGGGAGCTATAGCTTTCCAATGGCAGGAACATGTATCTCCAATATCACTCCTCTAATACCTGGTGGTATCAGCAGTAGCCTTGTATACTGTATATTTGTTCAGTGAATGAGGATTTCACATTTCTAAGTCCCTTTGAATCTCTGAGTCTGTTTTTGTTTTTTGGTTTTTAGAGATAGGGTTTCTCTGTGTAGCCCTCAAAGTCCTAGAACTAGCAATGTAGACCATGCTGGCTTCAAACTCACAGAGATCCGCCTGCCTCTGCCTCCTGAGTGTTGGGAGTGCCGAGTCTGTTTTCTTTCTTTCTTTCTTTCTTTTTTTTAAAGACTTTTCTACAAAAGATTTTGGTGGAAGGGGGGGAAACTGATTTCCAGAACTTTCTTGTCACCCACCCACCATGTTTTGGGAGCCCAGATTTGAAAGAAAAGGTAGTGTTACTGGGAATTATGACCTGGGCAAGGTAGGTACTGATTTAACAACTTATAAATACCCGAAAAAGATGACTTCTCTGTCAAACAGGGTTCTGAGTTCTCCCTGATTCCCCTTTGCACCTCAGAGAGGCAGTGCTTCTAACTGTGGCAGCCTTAAAACAGAGCATCAATGTGTTTTTGAAAAGGCTTTGGTGACTTCACTTTGTTCCAGTCTTGGTTCAGCCTTTCTTTTGCTGAATCCTTCCTAAGTACCTGTGGGGCACTCTGCAGCTTACATTTGATTGGGTCTATCTAGGTGGAGCCCTGGAAGTCACAACCAGGAAAGCTCCTTCATCCAACTCCCTCACCAAGCTCTGACAGAGTGTCTGTGTGAAGATGTTGCCTCTAAGGGTGGATACTGCCACAGGGTCTTGGGCTGGTGGGCAGGTGCAGAGCAGTGTCTTTTTGTATCTGTTACAGGGATTGTTTCAAGGCATTCTATGTTCACAAGTTCAGAGCCATGCTTGGGAAGAACCGACTCATCTTTCCTGGCGAGAAGGTACACGTGAGGCCTAGGTGCTTGACTGTTAGCCTCTGCTGATTTCCTGTATGTGCATTTCTTCAGTTGGCCTGCTATCTCTGAACTTGGAGGGTAGACTTGGTATCTGGAGCTGTCTAAGAAATGAAGCAGACTTGCTCACATTGAAGATGCATGTCCTTGCTGATGCTCTCTCCCCACCCCAGGTGCTGTTGGCATGGTCTGGGGGGCCTTCATCCAGCTCCATGGTCTGGCAAGTTCTTGAGGTATGTCCACACCATCCTCTGGGCCTAAGCTTCTGGACTGAATTAACAGGCCTCTCTCCTCAGCCTGCACTACAGTTTTTGATTGACACCAGACAGAACACCCCTACCCCAGCTGAGACACCTATAGGATCTCACATGTATATTCAGCAGGTGTGCAATCCATAAGCTTTATGTAGGGTCCCCAGGTATATCCTTGTTTAGCTTTGTTAGGACACAGTATCAAAGTTTAACCAATTGTGACTTGTGGGCAGAGAATAGTATTTGCTGAAAACAGGGAGAAGTGGCCTAGGTAGAAGGGGGTGAGGCAGATAGAATGCCTGACATTGCTGAGGGTATGCAGGGTTTCCTTGAGGGGCCTTGGCACAGAAGAGGGACCAACTAGAGAGGCCAGAGTACAGGCTGTAGTTGATAGGATAGGAGTCAGTGGTCTGAACTGAATTTGGTAAGTGGCAGTGCTGTTCCAATGTGAATACCCTGTGTGGTACTTGTCTGGAGTTTTTGTCTTACCTGCTGGTTCCCTAAACTTGTACATGTGGAGGTGAGATAGCTCACCATGAAGCCATTTGTCAGTGTCTGATACCACTCCTCTTAGAACTCTCTGTTCCTGCCTTCCACAGGCTGCCTCCTCTGTTCTTACATACCAAAACACTTTCTGAGAGTTCTGAGGTGCCCCCACTGCCCCATGCATGCTCCAGCTGTTTGTCTTAGGCTGCTTTGGTGTCAGAAACAGACTGGAGAGGGTGAATTCTGAAGTTTCTGATACAGACAGGGCTTGCCCTCATGTGGGAGCAAGACTTGTATCCACATACCCTCCTGTGGAGAAGAAAGACCCAGGTTCATATTTTCTGCTGTTTGGAGGGGAGACTTGGGCCCATTCACATCCCTCTGAGGAGGGAATACTCAGGCAGTTTTGTTCACTGTCTGGAAAGTCCAAAGAAATGCCTTTAGCCAGGTCTGCATCCTGATGTTTCTCTTCCAGGGTCTGAGTCAGGGTTCTGCAAAACGGCTACGCTTTGTACCAGGAGTCATCTATGTTGATGGTATGTCTGGCCACTCCTTTCAGTCCCCAACGATGATTGGTGAACCCCAACAGGCCCTTCAGGGAACAGACTGGGGACAGAGGTGCCTTCCTAGTTGTATTGAAGGGCCTAGGAATTGAGGAAGGTGAGTTTAGAGCTGGTCTTTGGGGATGGAAGTCTAGGCAATTTCTTTAGCTGTGAGGGGAGCCAGTCCTACCCTTACAGAAACTTTCTCTGAAGAGTAGACATGGTGGGACTTCTGTGTGTGGCACTGACTACCTCAGCCTGTCCCATCAGGCTCTTCCTCTGTGAATCCTATGTACTTCCCACCTGGTTTTTACAGAGGGAGCAGCCTGTGGCCAGAGCCTAAAGGACAGAGAGAAGACCTTGGCAGAGGTGAAGCTGATCCTGCAGAACACTGGCTTCCCATGGCATGTGGTTGCCTTAGAGGAGGTAGGTGGGTCTGCCTTAGTGATAACCTGTTGTGACCTTGGAGGGGATACCCATCAGGGCCACATGCTTGTTTTTTGGAGGCAGCTATGGGCCTTGGACTTAGTGTTCCTTCTTACTCCTGGAAGGTGTTCAGCTTGCCACCATCGGTGCTGTGCTGTGCTTCCCAAGAGCCAGCAGGGACAGAGGAGGCCTACAAAATGGCTGTGGACAGCTTCTTGCAACAGCAACATGTGCTAGGGGTTGAGGGCTATGCCAGCCCAGCTCAAGGAGAGGATCAGCCACACCCATCCCACAGCCAGGAACCCCTAGGCATGGCTGGGTCCCCCATAGCTGCTCAGACTGAGGCCTTGTCTAGGTTGTTCAGCTCCATAAGGACACTGACAGCCAAAGAGGAGCTTCTGCAGACCCTGAGGTGAGCTCACCATCCCTAGTCCTGCCTGGCTTGTAGGATTCCAGCTCCAGTTTCTCTAATACACCCCATCACAGGACCCATCTGATTGTACATGTAGCCCGAACCCATGGCTACGGCAAGGTGATGACTGGGGAGAGCTGCACCCGCTTGGCCATCAAGCTTATGACCAACCTAGCCCTGGGGAGAGGAGCCTTCCTTGCCTGGGACACGGTATGCAGGGCCTAGAGGCCAGGGTATCCCTTGCCTCTTTGTCCTCTTTCATTTGAAAGTACCTTTGGGTTTTCCTGAGGTCTTCCAAGAGGAGAGGCCGGGGACCCAACTGAAGATGGTGGTGGCAGTAAGAGGAAGTGAGCTAGGATTTGAGCCATAGTGTCTGCTCCTCAGGGCTTCTCAGATGAGCGGCATGGGGATGTGGTATTGGTGAGGCCCATGCGGGACTACACCTTGAAGGAAGTGGCCTTCTACAACCACCTGTTTGGTGTTCCCTCAGTCTTCACACCAGCCATTGATACCAAGGTGGGCCTGTGGAGAACTGCCTGGGCTGGTTGGGGGCAGCCTCTCCATATAGGGTCAGAAATCCCTGGTGCATTGTTGGGGACTTGAATTGAATCCTTGCCAGCCAGCTTCAGCCCTTTCTTTCCTAGGGCTGGCCCTGAGGTCCCAGCTTGTTCTCTGTGACTTTAGCGCCGGCTGCCCTGCCTCTGGAAAGACCAGTAGCAGTGTCTGTGTATCCAAGGGTCCTCCAAGCATGCCCTGTATCCTAGAAGAGCAGGCTGGTACCCCTAAGGAGGTGGCTTGGAGGGAGAGGGTTAGTCTGTCCCTGAGGTGAAGAGGTGGCAAGAGGACCTGTCATCTTTGAATCCTGTACTGGTCTCAGTCCTCTCAGACTGGCCATGTGAAGTCCATGGTACTTGCTTTAGGTGCCCCTCAGCCCTTCTAACTACTCCCTCCCCCCACCCGATTGTCCCTAGGCTCCAGAAAAGGCTAGCATCCACCGGCTGATGGAAGCTTTTATCCTGAGATTGCAGACTCTGTTCCCCTCTACAGTCAGTACTGTGTACAGGTGTGTATGCCACTGGGGCTGCTGTTAAACCTGCTCCCTGCACTTGAGGGGAGTAGAACCCATGGCTGGGGACATACTTGTTACCTATTCCTGTTTTCCTGTGTACCTGCCAACAGGACAAGTGAGAAGTTGGTCAAGGCTCCCCGGGACAGCTGTGCCACTGGCCCCTCGGGCCCCAACTGCCTCCTCTGCATGTGTACACTGGACATTGACACTGCTGGTACGTGCAGGGCCTTCTTAGAGTGCTGTGTGGGGTGGTTATTTGGCTGCCCCAGGGTCCCCTCAGCCCCTCTCTGTTGCAGACAGTGCCACGGCCTTTGGGGCTCAGTCCTCCTCACATCTCTCCCAGATGCTGCCTGCTGAGGCTGGGATGCCTACCCCACCCAACTGTGGTGCAGGGGAGGGTCAGGCCCAGAGCTGCCACAGGGGAGTTGGCAGAAGGTAAGACCCTGCCTGTGTCCTGCCCTATGGACAGGGGTGGAGGGGGCTGGAAGACTGTGGCCTTAAACAGAGTTCAGAATGAGACCAGACACATGAGTTCAGTTCTGCTTCTACAGGGAGGATGTGCAGGCCTGCATCATGGAACAGCTGTGCTATGGCTGCCGGGTGAACATGAAGGACCTGGTGAGTGGCTGTCCATATGTTCCTGTGAGCTGTCCCTATGGTCCCCTTGGCTTCTCACATTGACATCTCTTGTAGCCCTCCCTGGACCCATTGCCACCCTACGTCCTGGCAGAGGCTCAGCTCCGCAGCCAGAGGTAATGCCTGCTCTTTGGGGAGACTTCTGGGGAGACCCCCAGGACTGGTTCTCACTGCAGTCTCCCTTAGGGCCTGGGTCTCTCGGGAAATTCAGGAGTATCTGATTACAGACGATGATGAGGAAGAGGAGGAGGAAAGCAGGGCTGAGCCTGGGCATACCCAACCATGCAAAGCTATCAAGCAGGAAGGAGAAAACACTGGGATTGGTCTATGACGGTCCATTTGTATAAATAAAAATGTTTTTACTTAGAAAACTCTACAGTACTTGTGGGAAGGGAGAGCCAGGCCCCCAGACCCAGTGTGGCTAGCCCTGAGCTACACTGGGCCCCCAGCCCAATAGGTGGGGACGCAACAGGTAGGGACACAGCATCCCTTTGACAGCAGCATCATCAGGGCTTGATGGGCCAGGAGGATGTGTCACAGCTCGTGGCCTCAGGCAGCTACACTCCTATCCAAGGAGCTCTGTCAGCCCTGGTGGCCATGCTGCCCTGGGGCAGCTCCTTCATTCCCGGTGCCCAGGAGCTGGGCTCCTACTCCTTCTCACGTGTCCACTTGATCATGGTTTCTGGTGAGCGGTACAGGAAGATGAGCTTAGCGTACAGCTCCTCCTCCAGCTCCAGCTCACGGGTCTCCCGCACCAAGAAGATATCCTGGCACAGCTTGAGGATACGGTCCACATATGGCAGCTCCTCGAACATGATGGAGTGTGAGATATCACTGAAGAAGCCCCGCATAAACTTGCCAATGACCAGCACAATGGACACGTATAGCCCAACAATCCTGTTGGGAGAGGCATGAGAACCAGGACCACTCAGAATTCCCCTGTGGGTGGGGGGAGCTAGAGGAGGTTCCTTTGCAGTACTTACCCATAGCCAGCCAGGAAGCCAAGGCTGGGTGGGCTGACCTTGTCACTGAAGATGACCATGGGTAGCAGGTTGCAGTCAGCCTGGCAGTCCTGCAGCTCAATAACCCACCACTCAAGGAAGTCGGAAGCCTTTGTGTCTGCTTGTTCCCCAGAAGCCCCTGTGCCCACTTGCTCCCTCCGCAGCTGGATGCGCACACCAAGATAATCGGCTTCTTCATCTGAGTTGAGTGGGGTAGTTGGAGTCTGGGGCTCTCACCCATCCCTGGCCTAAGCTGTGTCCCAGCACCCTGACTCCACACTCACCTGGCTGCAGCTGCTTCACTGGGTTGGCTTCAGGCCCATTGGGAGCACGAATGTACTTGGGGAAGAGGTTGGGAATGACCCTGTGGGAGGAGTCAGCAAGTCAGGGGCATCTTAACCCCTCCTGCCCACCTGCCCCACAGTGGTCTCCACTCACACTGACTGGTCAAGTCTGCCCTCAAGCAGTTGGGCTAGCTGCCTCCGTGCTGTACTGTTGGGGGCCAGCTCCAAGGTGTGCTTCTCGTTGGTATACTCCACCTTGCCACCCTTGGCCAGGTCCCTGGGGGAATGGGCAGTGTTAGGCAGTGTGGGGCATGCCCCAGGCGCTTGTAAGCACAGGACCCACCTTTGGAAATTCCAGGTGAATCGCAGTGTAATGTCAGCTGTGCCATTGTACAGCTCCTGCTTCATCTGGGCCCGGCTTGGGGGGCTAATGCGCCACAGTGCCCCAGAGCTGCCCTCGATCTGTGCAGTGACGATGTCCTCAGGACTGTACTGGCTAATGAACTGCATGGCTAGCTGTGTGGAGCATACCTCAGTTAGGGGCAGCAGGCCACCGTTTCCCTGCCTGCCCACCTCACACCAAGTGGATGCGGTGCAGGCCACTTACTGGGTAGGAGTCAAACTGCTGGCACAGCTCCTCGTAGGCCTGAGGCGTGAAAGGCACTATAGATGGCTGTTGAGCGCTCATGGTGAACAGCGGCTAGGGATGGGATGCCTGATCAGTATGGAGCCATCCACAGTCCGCAAGGAGTGGATGTTACCTCACTAGTGGGGAAATGGAGGCTGGCTACTCACCTCGTAGCCTCCCAACTTGAGGGTAACAGTGACATCAATGGGCTGGTTGACGACACCCACCACAGAGCGTATCAGTGACATGAAGAGCAGTGGGAACCAGATGATGGCAATGATGAAGAGGATGATGAGGCCACCCATACCATACTTGACAATTTTCTTTTTCTTCTGTCCCTTGGGCTGTGGATATTTCTGGAAGGGAGATAGTGGTCACCCTCCCAGCCTCTTGGCCACAGGCTGTAAGCCTCAACCTTGTGTCACTGAATAGGTCTGGGGTCCAGAAATAACCCTGAATAGGGTCAGCTGCTTTAGTGAATGGGGCTGGAACATTAGCTGCATGCCATACTCATAAGAGAAGGGAGCCTACTTTCTGCACAGCTGCAAGCAAGGATATTGGAGCAGAGAGCTTGATGTGTGTTTAAATTTCCTAGAAGACAGACATCTCTGCAATCTTATGGTTGGGGACCTCTGGGGAACACCAGAAGTGAACACAAAAGGGAAAACAGTATTTTTTAAATTAACTTTGATATTGAGAATGTGCTGCTCTTATAGAAGTCCAGAGTTCAGTTTCCAGAATTCATGCTGGGTGGTTTACAACTGCCTATAATTCCAGTTCCAGGGGGATTTGATGCCTTCTTCTGGCCTCCATGGGCACCTGCACTTGTGTACATATCCCCAGCCCCCCCCCAAACATAATCAAGAATAATAGAAATCATTTTTTAAAGCAAGGACAGCCAGAACGTGGGAGAGTGCAGAGCAGCCATGTGGTGGGATGGAGTAGCCAGAGCCTACAAAGAATGCTTACAAACCTAACAGATGACCTGACCACATCTAGGATGTGATCTGAATAGATGTTTCTCTAAGGAAGATAATCAGCCAGCAGCACATGAACTGTCAAACATTGGAACTTCAGTTTGCTGGTGAGAGATGCAGCCACTTCAAAAACAGTTCAAAATGACTGAACAGTGCCTCCTAAGTGCCATGTATAGGCTGATACATACAGTGCAAACAGGAGCCGTCCATCCATGAAAGGTAGACAGACACATTGGAGTTTCTGCACTCCATGGAATCTATTACATGGGTCTAAGGAGTAAGTACTGACTCACTACAAGGAAGAGCCTTGAGAACACTGCTGAGGGAGGAAGCCTGGTACAAAATGGTTCTGTGCTATCAGACAGACAAACCCACAGAAGTAGACTACAGACCACCCAGGATGGAGAGGGGAGATGGGAAGCAACTAACAAAAAGGAGAGGTTTTCTTTGAGGGGTGGGGCTATCCTAAAGCTGGCTGCAGTGGTGAGTTGTGCGTACTTTGCAGATATACTAAATCACAAAACATAGCCCTGGTAACAAACAGCTAATATCTGCCTGCTGCCACCACCACCAGACCCAAGGGCCCAGTCCACTGTCCCCTGATGACCCCTAGACCCACTGCAGCTGTCCATGAGATCTAGAAAGCGCCTTTGTCTGGGCTACTGTGCAGGTAGGTTGTAAACTCCCAAGAGATATCCATCCACCCTTTGCCCTGGCACCTTCTCTGTTTCTCGGCTGCACTTGACAATGAAGATGTTGGCATAAATGTCTTCCACACACATCCAGTTGGACAGGGACAGTGTGGTGTCAGTCCACACCCAGTCCATGACTGCCCGCAGCTCCACCAGGAATGGCACTAGACGGAACCTGCCAAGGCCAGGGTTCCATCAGCAGAGACAGCCTACAATGGCTTCCACCTGCTCTCCACGATCCCCAGGCAGACCACACTCACCCCTGGAAAAGGAAGAGGTTTACATGATTGTACTTCTTGGTGAGGAAGTTGCCCAGGATACGGGTGGGGTAGCCGCAGCGGATCTGGTAGGCAGACAGGGCAAAGTAAATGCACTTCACGAAGTACCACAGCTGGGCCACCGCATTCTGGTTGAACATTCTGAATGGAACAGGACAGGATGTCAGGGAGGGTGAATTTGACAGAAACAGTTCTGGAGGCCAATCCAAACTGTGCCACACCCAGAGTGTACAGTGCATCAGGGTAGACTGAGGCTCCTGGGTGCAGTGCCTCTCATCACCTACCTCTCAGTGACAGCTGGTAAGATGAAGAACATCCAGAGGTGAATGGCCACCACCAGGACCACCTGGAAGGCCAGCTTGCCCAGTACAGTCTTGCGCAGGTAGAGGGCACGGTCAATGACCATGGTGCTGAACTGGACCAGCAGCATGAACAGGAAGGCCTCCGGCACCTGGTCATCTGACAGTGAGGACGCAATGTCCGTGGCTGCAGAGTGCTTCTGTAGTAGAGGGCACAGGTTGGGGAGATGGAGCTGTAGTGCTCCTGAGAGTTCTGAGGCCACCCACTCCAAAGGCCTAAAAGCCAGTCTTTCACTCTGGGGACCCAGGTCAACTTACCCCAAAAGCCCAGAAACCAAAGACAATGATGATGAAATCAACAATGTCAGCCAGGAACATGAGAACATAGACATCAGTGGCTGCTCGGTACTTGGTGTGCAGAATGTCATGAAAGAAACGCCGCAGGGGTTGATATATGCTCTGAGCTCTGTGGATGGACAGCCTCAGAGGGTATCCAGCTGGGAACCACCTTCCTGCCCCAATGCCCACCATTCCCAGCCAGGTCACTCACAGTGACAGGCAAAAGCTCTGCAGCCGGCGCCCAGCTGCCTTCATTCTTTCCTGAACCTTCAATCCTCCTTGAGTGTGATGTGGGCTTTTTCTCCCTGCAGCTTCTTTTCCTTCCTCCTCCTCCTCCTCCTCTTCCTCAGCCTCTGTCAGTGTGTATGTCCAGGGAAATGCCAGTGAGCCCACTAAGGGACTGGGTGCCCACTCCAACAAGCTGACATCACCCCACTTTACAGACAGCACAGGAACTTCCCCACAGCAGTGAGAGAGCAACTGCTGCCATGTCCTTTATTGGGGTAGGCTTGAGACTTCAGCTCAGGCCCATAGACATCTTATCCTGAGTACAGGGACAACTTCAAGGACAGATACAGGGAGAGTATTGAGCAATTCTGTGCTTCCCAATGGGTCGTCCCTGTGCTGGACTGGTCATCTCCTACTGAGAGTCATTTGTGTCTCCTCCCCAACCAGGAGGAATCTGGCAGGGGTCTAGTCTGGTTTCTCACCCGTAGCTGCTGCTCCTTTGGGTCTTAGAGTCTTTTTCCTCCTCCTGAAGCGTATGCCGATGTGCCTCGTGTTCTGGGGCTTAAGGTCCTCTAGGGGCTCCTGGATCCCATCCTTGGATTTAACATTCCCTTTCCCTTGGATGTGATCCTTGGGGGTACCAGT